GCGTGTGGGAGGAGGCAGCATCTGCCCTGCTTTGCAAACAGGAGCCCATCTCCAAGCTCTTGGGAATGGGGGAATCGTTTGTCACAAGAGTGTCAAAACAAAGCCAGGTGTTACCAAGCCTGTTCTCTACTCAACGTCTTGTGATCCCTGTAGAAAGCTGCCTCATGCCAGCAAGAAGCCTAACAAAATGTGGGTGTTACCAAAGGGGACAGTCCAGGCTGGTTGTCCCCAGCAGCCAGCCCAGAGCAGAGGGAAAGAACCTCTAAGAACCTGCAGCATCCCACTCCTCCACCCACCACCGAGCAGGTGCTGTCCCGCTGCAGGGAAAAGCACCTTTAGCCATGCAAGGTGTGCGGAGGCTACCTGAGGTGACAGCAAAGGCTCTCTGAGCTGTGGCCACGCTCTGCCCCAAAGACTTGAGAATCTCCAGACACCATCACACCACTGGTGCTCTGTGTTTGGGGCTACTGGGAGCAAGGACAGGGGCATTGCTGCAAGCAGAGCCCCAGGTCTGGGGAAATCTCAACCAGCGAGGCTGAGCAGGCAGCTGTCTCCTCTGTAACTGAACCTCCATTTTTTTCTGAGTTTACTGATAGTCTTTTACCTCCAAACTCCTAACTGGAAGCTGGCCTTGAGCCTGCTGAATCAAACCTTTGTTTTACTCTGAAGGCCACAACCCACGTGCCCTGGGCTGCAGCCCCCAGCGTTGGATGATCTCCATGATCTCCATCTCACGTTGGATGCTGGAGATGTTCTCCAGCCCAAGTCCTGCCCTCAGCCTCCACCCAAAGCAGCCAGCCCGTGTCCAGCTGGGTTTGTTCTTTATTTTGCATTTGTCATGGAGCAGCGGTGTGAGCCGGGCTGTGCTCGGCTCCGGTCGGCGGGCGATAGGCAGCAGTGTGGGCAGGAGGGGGGGGTACCCACACCCTCGGTGTGCAGTGGGTGACCCACAGCAGCGTTTTGGGTGCTGGAGCAGCCACAGGGGCCCGTTCCCGAGCGGTGGCTGAGCCGATGCTGCCGAACGCGGCCGGGGACCCTTTGGCTCCCATGGGACAGGTGTGTGCTGGGTTCTGTCATGGGCTGGTCTGTGCTTTGTACGTCCATCCATCTGGAGGGGCTTTCACCCCCAAAACAAAGTCCCCACAGTCCCTGGTGTGGGTCAGTGTTTGCTGGTCATCAGCTTTATGATGATGCCGAGTGCAAGTACTGCAACGGCTGCGGCTGGCGGATGATCAGCTCCTTGGTGGCCATGGTGGTGGCCGGAGGGGACGTGGCAGGTGTGGCTTCCTGGGGCTCCAGCTGGTACGATGGTCCATCCAGCCTGGTGATGCCCGTGAGCACGATGCCGTTCTGCGCATCCACTCCCGCTGCGAGGAGAACGAGGCAGGGTCACTGGGGGCTTTTGGGAGGATTGAGGGGTCTCTTGGGAGGGTTTTGCCTGAGGTGTGAAAACACTTTATAAGCAGCCCAGAGCAGCTTTGGTGGGACCCAGTGTCTGCAAGGTGAGAACTACCCAGGGTGACCCATCCCTTCAGGTTGTCCCCCTTCCAGCCCCCATCCACTCCCGCTGCGAGGAGAACGAGGCAGGGTCACTGGGGGCTTTTGGGAGGATTGAGGGGTCTCTTGGGAGGGTTTTGCCTGAGGTGTGAAAACACTTTATAAGCAGCCCAGAGCAGCTTTGGTGGGACCCAGTGTCTGCAAGGTGAGAACTACCCAGGGTGACCCATCCCTTCAGGTTGTCCCCCTTCCAGCCCCCATCACCCACTGTGCCCAGCTCCTGGCCATACCTACACACCCCCTCATTGCCATGGCCGGGGGGTGAGCGTGAGGCAGTGGGGCCGGCCCCACACTGGAGGGGAGCACCTTGCAGGAGGGTTCAGAGCCTGGGTTCAGCTCCTCCGATGGTGGCTGGGTCACTCCTGCACGGCGCTGAGCCTGGAGGAGGGAATGTGCTGGGTTTAGCCGGTGGCATGGGCAATCCTTACCCAGAAAAGCCAAAGTGCCACCTCTCACGTGGTTTGTCTGGCTGGAAGCGGCACAGTGGGGCTGAAAGATGCTGGAAATCATAGAAGTATCATAGAATCATTTGGTTGGAAATGACCTTTGAGATCATTGAGTCCAACTGTACCTGTCCACTGCTAAACCACATCTCTGAGCACCTCATCTACCCATCTTTTCAATCCCTCCAGGTCTGGTGACTCAACCACTTCCCTAGGTAACCCATTCCAGTGCCTGAGAACACTTTCAGTGAAGAAATTTTTCCTGAAATGCCTAAGCGGTGCGGGCTGGTGGGAGCCCTGGGGCAGCTGGGGCACAGGATGGTGCTCAGGACTGCAGGGTTGAGGTGGCCTTGGTCACCCTGTCATCTGCTTTGTGCTTCATGTGGGTGGCATGAGGTGCAGAGGGAACCCTCGAGGCCATTGAGTGCACAGGTTGGGAGGGAGCTGAATACAGGGACGTGGCCACTGGAGGACAGCCCCGGGTGGTGCTGGCCCGTGGGATCAAACCCGTGATGCTGTCTCATCCTGCTGCGATCTCAGCCAAGGCACAAAGGACTTCCCTGTGGACACATGGGTTACCTCTTCAGCTGCCTTCTTCCAGTCCATGCGGGAGATGTAGATGATGAAGCAGGTGCAGAGGATGGAGACACAGACCAGCATGCTGAGCCACAGCCCTGCAGAGTCAAGAAAGGGCATGTCACCAAGGTCAGCAGGGACAGGGGATGGGGCAGCTGTGGGCACCTGCTGTGGGACTGCCCAGCAGATCTGGCAGCAGTTCCTTTTTCCCAGTATGATTAAAAGCTCTCAGTAGTTGCAGGGGCCATCCCAGTCCACCCCAGTGTGCCCGGTCCACAGGCAGGTAGGAGGGCAGAGCCAGGCAGGAGGGTCACAGTGAGCCATGGGTGGGGTGGGTGGAAGCTGCATCCACCCACAGGGGATTTTGGGGGATGCAGAGCTGCACACCCGAGGGGTTGGTACCTATGACTCCGATCCTGGCCACGAAGAG